AAACATTAGTTGACAATGATTTTTCCAGCTACATCATCGATAAACAAATAATATTATTCTTACGAAAGTACATGACACCAGTACTAAAAATACAATGCAACAAAACATCAACATATTTTACTGTAACCAGAATCACAATAAATACAAACAGAACGAATTCACCATGCGACGAATCATTAAACACTATATTTCAGCCGTAAATTCCGACAAATAAAACTTATAATATATTACAGGAAATGGAAAACCGCAAGCCTTGTCGATACAGTGTAACCCGGATATAAGAGACCCGGATATAAGAGAAACCCGGATATAAGAGAGATTTTCTCTAATCCCAAATTAGAGCCTGTGTTAATGTATATAAAATAGACCAAACCCGGATATAAGATAAACCCGGATATAAGAGACTTCTTCTCCGGTCCCGATAACTCTCTTATATCCGGATTACACTGTACTAATCAAATAACCCTATTAAATCTAAACTACCGAAAACCAATATGGCGTATCAATTTAACTTCCCAGTACAGGACTGTGTTTCTTGTTATAAATCAATTAACTATATCGGTTAAACTACTACAACCTTGAGCTGATGACTCACGTGCCACATATCTGATCAAAGCGCTAAAATAGGCATTTAGCTACCCACAATGTACAATAACCCATAAGGACAATTCTGGTTGAAAGCACAATCATTCTTCATAAATCCTGAATCCGAAAACATCTCGTTGTGAGAAGCAATTTGCATAAAATATATGGCACCCAGTAGTATTCTAACTTTATTTAACAACGACAATAATGTGTTCAACGTTTTTGTTTAATAAAAAGTTGCCAACTTGAATTCCTGCCACTTTCTTTTCGTAGGATTCAGAATAAACGCTACTACATATACAAACATTACACAACTACATCATAAAAACAAAACCATGAAAAGAAATTAAGAATACTTAACAACAAACCCCTTGAAAACGGCTAAAGAAGTGGACGAAAGTGTTTGGGACCACAAACACTATGGACAACTTTTAGAGACAGAATGTATGTAAATATGGCCTGACGATTGCATCTAGCATGAAACAGACTGCCGCCTGTAAGTGTTGACTTCTATGTTCATTTTATATATATATATATATATATATATATATATATAAAATATTAGTGGGAAATATACACATACATATGCAATCATATATCTAAAATATATAAATATATATACATGCATACATACACATGCATATATATTTGTATAAAAAATAATTCCAAGAGGATAGAATCCAGGTAGAACACAATGTCCAGGACAGAGTAAGGATATAATAAAAAGTCTTAAACACTAATATTCAATGGTCATAATTTATTCCATTGGAATCGTAAATACGTGTGTGTATGTCACCACAAAATGTATCTTTTCCGGTTACATCTTTAATGTATTAGACATCCGAGAATATTCATATTTCTCTCACTTAAACCGTCTTTGACTCCCCTCTTTAAAGCTTCTCTCTGTTAAATTTTAATCCCCACCTTCACCTTTAGACCTTCCTGTTCTTCTCTTGTCTGTTACCCCTCCCTATAGCTTTCATTTACTCTAACATTCGTCCCACACTCTCATACATACACTCTCACTAAATTTTAGTTTTTATTCCCGGAGTTGTTTTTTTCTGTTTTCTTTTTGAATTTGTAGGTCTGATGAATTGGGTCGTATTTACGATTCCAATGGAATAAATTATGTCCATGGAATATTAGTGTTTAAGCCTTTTAATTATATATATATATATATATAAGTAATGCCAACTATACCAACGGGCCTCAGTGCCGAAGTGGTAACTAATTAGGCTCGATATAGCGCCGCTCTTCACAAATTATGTAGTGTAACTCATCCAAGTTTTCCTAACCCAACGGACTGTGTCCTCTAGCACTACGAGCCACGTTTTCTATCCCCAAGCTGCTCCATCCAAAAGTCGGTTCAAGCGATGATATACAAGTGATAAACATTATTAGGATGATTTAAAATATTCATAATTAATTCATCAAGTCTGGAAGAATCCTCAACAGAATGGACAATGCACTGAACGGCCGTTTCGTCCTATATTTGGGACTCATCAGCAGTGCGCATTTACTAATCATTAATTCTTCATATATATATATATATATATATATATATATATTTCTATACTTGGTTTTTGATTGGTTATTCTAGCTTTTGTAACAATGTTTCCCCCTAGTGTAGGATCGTTAATTAATCTGAAACTTTTAAAACTATTTATTTTATCTTCAACATCATCACTTGATAAGATACCGAGTGTGTTGAAACAAAATGGCTATTTTTGTAGTGATTTTATAACATACTTATGTTATATTTTTTTTATAAATAATGATTATATCTGCTCTACTTTGTATTGAGGACTCTTTTAAGAATAGTAATTGTTGGTTATTGGAATTCATTCCTTATATACCAATTATATACTTGGATATATATATATATATATATATATATATATATATATATATGAAGACTTAATGAACATTTTTTATTATATTTTTTTAATCTGATATATCTTTAATAAAACTTCGTTTCATTTTTTTTACTGGGTACTCATATTTGGGTAAACAAAATAAATACTATTTAAAACAAACGGAGCGTCTACTCAAATACGAATATTCACTAAAATAAATATATGAATTCATAATTTTCCTGTGGGTACTTCTGCAAAAGTGACCACAAAATCTCGGCTAGAATTTGAACTCGTCACGCTGATTCCAAGTTATACCTACACCGACCTCGTATATACATTTTCGAAGGTCGGTTGAAAGTTCATATGCTAACTATATCATGTAATATACTATGCACAAATCAAATGTCATATAGCACACAAACAAATGCGCACAACACATATTCTTGTATCCATGAATGTGACATATATGGGCCATCCATATCGACTCGGAAGTTCCCATGGGATTTCAGAATTTTATGAAATTTGAGCATATATTATCCTCCAATGAAAAACGAAAACCCCGATAATTTGGGCTTACTTAGGCTCTTAGTTCAGCCGCTTAACCTCCTGAAATTTGATCTCTTCTTTTGCTAATTTCAAAATAGCAGCATTTGATATATTTAATAAGTAAATTTGAATATACAATTCAACTGGCTACACGACTTGAGAAGCTCTTGAAAAATGCGTAAGATTGTTTTATTTTTTTTGTTTTTTTTATTGTAATCAACTATTTTTTATTGCTAATAATTTAGGACTCATGTCTGTAATAAAGCAGAAGATGATGCAACTATATATAGATAAGATTTGTGTACAAATTTATTTGCTCACAAAATCATGCCCAGAGTGTTTATTTTTAATTTAAAGGCTTTCCTTCTCGTGATGACCACTTAGTAATAACTTAATGTATACTTTATATTTTCTTAATTTATAAATATTGGATTTCCTTTCCTAATTATTGCCCTTTAAAGAAAGGAATTGAATAATGTAAATGTGTAGAGTGAGTAGCCAGGGCCAAATACAAAATAAGTAACAGAATTATCCAACAAGCAGAATTGATAAACTTTACAATAACAAGAAACAAAAAAGGAAAAACGCAAAAACAAATAATATAAAGCAAGCAAATAATATATGCAAGGCAAAACAACAGTAATAAGGCAAAAAAAAAGTTCACAAACTAAGAATTAGAGTTGACATACAAAAGGAAGTCCGAACAAGCAAAAATAGCATTCTGATTTCAAGCCAAGACAGACCGGGACTGAGTCAGATAAAACCGAGAACTGGCCTATTTTACTGGCTAGGTAAAAATCCCAGCATGCATTTGTGTGCTTCTACCCACAAAATGGATAGTGGAAAGTGATGTAATGGAATAACCAGCCACTCCCATAAATGATTACACTATAGGTAGTAAGTACCTATAAAGTCAACTGTCTACGAGAGACTCGATGAAGAGTGACAGAGAGAAGACGCAAGCACGTCCGACCTTCCAATTAGTGGCACTCACTACTAGATTGACCTGTGTGTATAACTGTACCGTATTTCATACTGTACTGTTAGTGTACAATAAACCTTTCTTCTATTATCCACCTGGTGTTAAGTAGTTTTCCCTTAGTACTGAATATAACAGAATGTGTTTTGCAATCTTTCCTCCAGATTGAAACCAAAAAACGACACTTATACTTAACATCAGAAAAAACCGTTTAAAATCCTAAGATGCATAATGAGGAAAGAGGGCTTAGAAAATATGATACTCACAGGACAGATTGAAAGCAGAAAAGACAGCGGAATACAGCGCATAACCTACACAACGAGCTTGTGAAAATGTTTGGCACAACAGGGATTAGGAGTGATATCAAAAAGACAAAATTTACTAATAGGTAAAAAGAATAGGAAATTGTGGAGAGTAATGATCGCCCACGTCTTGAAGAGACACGGCAGATAGAAGAAGATTCGAACTAATTTTTTGTAAAAAAAACTTGGCATCCATTTTCTCAAGACAGGTTTTCCAAAACCTGTTGCTTTAATAATGCTGGTCGGACCAAGTCTTTTTTTTTTTTTTTTTTTTTTTTAAATCTTGGGAGCCAAGAAAACTTGGAAATACCAGTTAAATCAGCTAATTTATTTATGTTACCAAATAGTAACTCAGATAAATTCAAGGGAGAGAACTCAGTTGTCTTGGCACGTGGATCAAGCATCATGTCCCCCCTACCCTAGCTCGTAACAAGCTTCCGGATTTTTCCACAAACCAATTTTTCCCCACCTCCACCGAATCTACTTTGCACCGTGACGAGACGACAAATTTCTTTTCGACATCATTCTTCATCCTCAAGTCAAGCCCTAAAACAGCCTCCTTTCGCTGTTTCTGCAAACACCCTTCCTTCCTTCCTTCCTTCCTCCCGTCACCTGACTGATTACATTAGTACAGGGGAGGGTAACTTAGCCACAATAGATTTTGATTCGCCAACCGTTTCAGGCTGAAGAAGGCGGAGGTAAAGACAATGTGAATAATAGCAAGCACATTGCATGTACATCATCAGTGGTCTGCGTTCTCGCGATAGAACTGAGGCGGTGTGCCAGGTATTGGGGAGGGAACGTTGCCATCAGCAGGTCGCAATCCTTTATTTCCGGCCCACCACGTTCCGGAAGTGAGCGTTGATTGGGCGCGAAGATAACAGCTACTGTTTGGACCCGCTTCACATCCCAACTCCACTGTCAGTCCTTTTGTCATGTATTTGCCTTCTCCCATTGTCTACTTTCGATTTCTTTTATTTTCTGTGACTTCCTTCTCAGTTTTTGCTTCCTTTTTTTTTCTCTTCTCGTAGATCCAGCGCCCCATGTTAGCACCAGTTCTTTTTCGTTCTTCATTACATTTTTTGGTCGCGATTGTTATTGTAGTTGTTTCTTCCTCAGTGTTGTTGTCTGTGTCGTTCTCATGTCGCCTTCTTTATCTCCTTCTTCTTCTTCTTCTTCTTCTTCTTCTTCTTCTTCTTCTTTGTCACCATCCTCCTCGTCTTTTTTATATATAAAAACTTCTAGTGTTATGCTTCAGCTTCCTCTTATTATTATTTTTTTCGATTTATCATCAGTGTTCTTCGTCAGGTTTTAGGTTCATTTTCCCATATTCTACTCTTCGTCGTCTTCTTATTTTTCTTTTTCTTCTTCTTTCACTTCTTTTATTCTATCACTCGCCATCTTTTCCTGGATTGTCAACTTTTTTTCTGAAAATTCCTATCCTTTCTTCTTCTTCTTCATCGTCTTCGGCGTCCCTTTTTCTATATAAAACATTCTTCTTGCAACCATACTTCAGCTTTTCTTTGTTCGCCAACTCTTATTAGTATTTTTTTTTTTTTTTTTGGCTGCCACAGGTTCATTTTTCCATATACTAGCTATCATCGTCAGTGCCATCTTATTCTTATTTTTGTCTGTCATTGTTTTTTGTTGTTTTTTTTTTCGGGGTGGGGTTGCCACTCTACTCATCTTCTATATTGTTGTTTCTCTTTCTGCATTCTGCTATCCTTTCTTCTCTTCTTCTTCTTCACATTGTTCCTCTTTCTTCTTCTCATTACCTTTACCAACTCGTGATACCATGCTTTTTTTCTTCCTTCCTTCCTTCCTTCCTTCCTTCCTTCCTTCCTTCCTTCTTTCTTTCTTTCTTCCTTCATTTCTTTCTTTCTTTCTTCCTCGTTGTACTAGTAGTCGTTGTCGTCTCTTTTTCTATATAAAATCTTCTTGCGATCATACCACAACACCTTTCTTCTTTTACACCTCTTCTTGTTAACGTTTCTTGTCATCATTTTGACATTCTCCCTTCTGGTCCATTTTCCCAACAAGCTAACAATCTTCTTCTTCTTCTTCTTCTTCTTCTTCTTCGTCGTCGTCTTCTTCTTCTTCTTCGTCGTCGTCGTCTTCGTCTTCTTCTTCTTCTCTCTGTCATCCTTTTTCTTCTTCCTTTCTTCGCTAAGTAGTCTATCTTTCCTGTTGACATCAACCACATTATCTTTTATCCTTTATTTTTTTCAATTCTTTATCTTTCTTCTTCATTATCGTCTCCAAAAAAACTGTTTACTGTCATTTCTTCTTCTTCTTCTCATTATTATTATTATTATTTTCCTTATCCACACTCCCATTAATATATCTTTTTTTTTTATTTTTCTTCTGTTTCCTTTACATTTTCTTTCCTATTTCGTTTTCTTCTACCATTCTTTTATCGTTCGCGAAGACTTCTTTTTTCTGATTCATCCTAGTTCTTATTGTAATTCCAGTTGTAGTGATTCACACTATGCCATGACCCCACAACCAATCACCGGTCCGGAAATGAACAAACAACTTTCAAGCGATCCGTGAGGAATCCAGTTATGTAAACAGACACCCATTCCACATACTTTCTAACACACCAGGGATACTATGAAAGCAATATGGCCGCTCAGCTAGTTTTGATGAGAGGGTCAGTGGCTCTTGATGTTGCTGTAAGGCGAATATAGGTGACTTCTGGCCAGTCAAGTGCCGCCCTCGATAGTATAAGGTTTCTTGGTCCCTATTTTTGTCTTCCTTGCTGGGAGGGTCAGAGAGTTTCGCAATGAAAATATGGGGCTGGTGGTTCCGTAGTTGGTGGTAAGGGAGAGATGTTCGAAAATAGGAGCAGATTGAAAAAGATAAAAAAAAAAGAAGAGGAAATTTGTTATTGGCATCAAGTAAGAGAAGACACCGGAAATTGTCATTCCGTTTACCATAATACGGTCCCTGGTGAAAACTAGCATCAAGATCATATCAACCTGATTGAAAAAAAAAAGAGAACATGACAGAGGTGGGGATAGCGAGTGCAATACTGTCAGATCAACCAAAGAGATCACATCATTCTTTCTATATATATATATATATATATATATATATATATATAATGAGCGATAAGGATAAACAGCTCTCAGAGGAGTCTGCCTAAGATTGTACACTGGAAAAAGAGTGCTGAATGTCGACCACCATTTCCAGTTTCATGTGTTTTCACGTAATCATGAGACTAACTTGAAATTTGACTTCACACACACACACACACACACACACACACATATATATATATATGTGTGTGTGTGTATGTATGTATGTATGTATTATGAAATGGACAAAGTCCGACAGTTATTTTAAGACATTTTTTAAGTTTATACGTTCTTTTTACTTAAATATTTGTATGTATAAAAAGAACGTACAAACATAAAAAATGTCTTTAATATATATATATATATATATATATATATATATATATACATGATATAGTTTTTTTCATTTCAACAGTAGTTTAGTTTATATATAGATTTTACATCGAAACGAAGACTAAAGAATTAAATTTTGTAAGTATCCAAAAAACCAAGACTGAACTAATACTGTCTTCTCTATTGTTTTTGGTTATCAAGATGAATAGAATAGATGGATAAAAAATAACATACGCTGTCCTTCGCCAAAAAGATTAAAAAGAAACAGTCGACCTGGTTATTTTTGGAAAGTAATTTTTTAATCAAGTATTGTTTTAACTATAATGATTAATAGCAAGAGATAGAGCATTAATAATAATAAAGAAAATCAAATATTCACTTATCATATGGCTACTCTGAGTTCTGTGGCAATTACATCCACTTATCAGAAGTGTTTATTGTATTTTTTAAAGATGTTAATTTTCTTTACAATGATGCTAAACTGTAAGGTAAACTTCATTTAATTTGTTCCTTTGTATGTATTACATAACTTTCTATAATCGAAAGTTAGATTCGACTTTTGTTTTAGTTACAAGTAATTCCGTTTTGGATTGGGATAGTAGTAATGTTTTTTTTTAAGTAAATCGTTAATCTAGTGAATGGTTCTAATGACTTAAAGCTTATAAGAGCGTAGAATTATTTGATATCTCTTAATATTTATTAAGTATCGTTATGTTTATAGGCTTATGGCGATATCACATAGAAACACTGGTTCTCATATGATCACCGACATTAATTGGCAAATGTAACGCCCTTTTTTTTTCGAGCCGTAGTGGATAGGACGAGTTGGTGCAATTGAGTGGGCATTTGGATCACCAGACCACCAGACTTTTTGTTGTAGGGTGATACACTTTCTGAATTTGTCAAATGGTTTGAAGAAGTGTTGCTGATAAGGATCAGCGTTGGATTGAACATGAAGGGGATCATTTTGAATATGTTACATAGTTTGTTAATCATAACAAATCATGTTGTTTTGATGTGGAAATACTTGTACTACTGCAATATATTTGTTCAAGAAAAGTTAATAAAAACGATATATATATATATATATATATATATTTCGGTTGAGCTCTCTGGGGAGGAAGTGTGGGTTTGTAAACAGTGACTATTACGGCTAATAATGCAAGACTCTTTGGTAAATCGAATCTAGTTCTTTCAGTCACTATGTGTTTATTTAAAAATAAATACGCTTAAATTCACCTGCGTCCCTGCCGTGCACCAACGGCATAGTGGTAGAATCCCCGACTGACACTAATTCAATCGGGTTTTGATCCCAGCTAGAGACAAACGTATGTCTAGCCACCCTGATGATCTGCGAAACAGGCTGTCTGTGGATGACTATATATATGACGACGAAACGCGTTGGTTAAATATAGCTTTCCTCTTGTTTCTTTTTATTCATATGTATATATCTATCTATCTATATCTATATATATTGTCATTCACAGACAGACACTTTCGCTGTTTCACAGACATCCGATTGTTTCATGGTCGGATCGAAACCCCTACGCTATCGAGGCCCTATTTTTTTTTTTTATCGTAAACACTCCAGTATTTATGATTATGTTCAGAATGATCATAAATCAGAACAACACTAACACACTCAAACAACTCGGTCACAATGACTTGTGACTTCGTGCTAGCACAGCTATCGATGGCTCCTAGTGTCCCGTCTACCCAATTTCACTCACAAGGGTTGGGTCAACACGTAGTAAGTTTTTCAAGCACTTTCCGCACGCTAGGATCGTCCCCGATACATATCGATAACAGTAAGAAATCTCCTTCCTGAAAAATCGACCCTATATATAGATAGATAGATAGATAGATAGATAGATAGATAGATGCGCGCACACATGTACGCACACACACAAACACACGCACGCACAAACACACACACACAAAATGAAACAAGACAAATCAACTTTGCACCAATGAAAAAGAAATGAATTATTTTTTTTATATTTCGAAATAAAAGAAAAACGAGAAAATAAAGAGTCAATTGCAGATATTCCCCGAATAGTAAACGGAGCGATTCCTGGAGGGTCCTTCTCTAAAACTATAGTCATGGTGCTGTAGGTAACATCAATCAGCTAAGTGGCAAATTTTTTTATCAATTTATATATATATATATATATATATATATATATATATATATATATATATATATATATATACACACACATATATATATATATATATATATATATATATATATATATATGTGTGTGTGTGTGTGTGTGTGTGTTCCAGAATGAACTAATACGTTTGTGACGAGACACGGAACTATGAGCAGAATTTTGAAATGAAATTTTCCGTGTATAAAATTCAATATTTGTAATTAATACTCAGAAGAAAAGGCGTTTTATTGAAAAATAAATATTTGATGTATAAAGTAATGAAGAAAAGCGAGAAGAAAAGACTAATAGCAAAAAGAAAAAAAAAACGAAAAGTGTGGTTGTCAGCAAGAAGCTCAGCCGCAGATAAGAGTTCCAAATTGGAGATGACAAAATCAAACAAGTTCATATGTTCAAACCTCTGGAATATTGTTTTAACAATTGACGAAGTATGAGACACAGAAATTTGAGGGCGCATTTGAATAGCAATATATGCCTTCCAAAAACAAATTACAGTATTAAATTATGTGAATATGTATTTAGAAACAATGTAAATAGTTCTGAACTGCTATGTAATATCAATCCACCGATATGGCAATAAGTGCTAGACAAGTTCTTCAAATATGAAGTAAGGAATTTATCTCTCAATAGGGATGTGGTTCTACAGAAGCCTGCTGAAAATATCATAGACAGACCCCGCCGCAAGCAACGGGGAGGTTTTGAGGAAAATGGAAAAAGGTCGCTTCTACTTAGAATCAGGAAGAGAAAGTTGAAATTTCTAGGACACATTATGAGGAAAGACGGTTTCGAGAATTTGTCACACGCGTAGCACATTGAAAGCCAGCGGGATAGGCAAAAACGTTGATTAATATGCTTAACGAGCTTGATTAAATGAATTGCAAAACTGGGAATAGAAGGAAAAATATAGTAAAAAGATAAACATTGATAAGAGCTCCAATGGATAGGAAGTTACGGAGAGCCATTATAGTCGACGTCCTGAAGCGACACGGTATATGAATGAAGTTGTTATAAAGATTTCTTTCTGATGTCTGTGAGGAAAAGGATTTATTTTACACAACCATTCTTTACTATATGATAATAAACTTTCGCCTATATTAGACAGTTAAGCTGGGAATGCCAACAGTGATCCCATCGGATGTTCCCAAGATTCAATGTCTACCGATTGTTCGTGCCAAGCAACTTCTGTCGTATCAAATTAAAAAAGATTCAATAGGGATTTCATCTTGGAGAGCAAACAAATACGGTGTCAGCCATGATGATCCCGTCTTTGGAGGATCAAGAGTGTCGGTCACTGTTTTCAGATGGTAATGAAGATCAACAAACTGTTAACGCTTAAATGGTCGAAAAGATTGTACAATAGATTAAAAGAACACGAGAAAATTCATTTTTAAGTAGTATTTTTTATGGTTTCCTGTATATATATAAGTATATATAAACCTATAAAAATGATAGCTTAATGATTCTGAATTAAAAACTGGGACATAAAATGCTACCGTCGTAATTTTTAATATTTTTAAACGTATAATATACTTTATAAGACACTTTATAAAATACACTGCACAATGAAGTTCTTCATTTTTTACACCAAGTTTAAGTTTATAAAAAAGAAAAACAATTATCCAAAGAATACGTTCATTCAAATTGAATGTTATTTGTACAATGGATAACAAACATTACTGTGCACAAAAAAAAGACAGCAAAATCTGGTATTTTATATATACAGGTTGTATCAAAAGTATTTTTGCAAACTTTGGAGACGAGTTGCTGACGCCAAAACAAGATAAATAAAGTGATATTGGATGATTCGTCGGTTTTCCGTCTGGAAACGCAATCTGATATCGCCATACAGCCTCACGTCCATTACTGTTCGCGTGGTCGTATGTAAAAATCATATCTACCTGATCAAGGTATGAATATCCTGCCATTGTTAAACGAAACACTTCTCTGCTAACTCACTACTACACGCGTTAAACGTTGAAGACAGAATAGCCACAAATGTACATGAATGATAAAAATTGAACGTAATCTACATGACAACACTGCGCCATCTACCGTAAACTTTCATTAAGCTTAATAACTCAGAAATGAAGGATTTCCAGATATATGATCATATGGACCTTTGACCTTGTTTTGGTTTGAGGAAACCGCCCACAAAGTTTGTAAAAGTATTTTTGATACTCTCTCTCTCTCTCTCTCTGTCTATCTATCTATATATATATATATATATATATATATATATATATATATATATATATATATATATATAATGATCATATGGATCTTTGACCTTGTTTTGGTTTGAGGAAACCGCCCACAAAGTTTGTAAAAGTATTTTTGGTACACTCTCTCTCTCTCTCTCTCTCTTTCTCTATATCTCTCTCTCTATATATATATATATATATATATATATATATATATATATATATATAATAAAATATATATAATAAAAAATATTAGGAAGATTGGAGATAATCATAATTAAGTAATTCATCAGGTCTAGAAGAATCCTCAACAGAATGCACTGGACGGCCGTTTCGTCTTATTTTGAGACTCATCAATAGTGCGCATCCACTACCGAGAATTGAACCTGGACCATTACAATACAAAGCAAGCTTCATACGAACTGTACGTCGGTGACGAAAAGGTAACAAATTAGACTCGATATAGCGCCGCTCTTCACAAATTCTGTAGCATAACTCCTCCGAGTTTTCCTTACCCATAAAACTGTGCCCCCCACAAGCCACGACTTCTATCCGAAGCCGCTCCAACCAGAGCATTAGAAGCCGGTGCAAGCAATGATAGACAAGTGATAGTGATTATTAAGAGGCTTTGAGATAATCATAATTAAGTAATTCATCGAATCTAAAAGAAACCTCAACAGAATGTAGAAAGCACTGATCGGCCGTTTCGTCCTATATTTGGGACTCATCAGTCATGCACATCCAATAACGAGAATTGAAACCCGTACAGTTATATCAGGCAAGCTTCATGCCAACTGTACCAACTGTCACTCGGCGACGAAGAGGTAACGTATTAGACTCGATATAGCGCCGCTCGATCACATATTATGTGGTGGAAATCATCCGTGTTACCCTTAACCATAGGACTGTGCCCCCACGAGCCACGACTATTATCCCTAAGCCGCTTCATCTAGAGTATTAGAAGCCGGTTCAAGCAAGAATAGACAAGCGATAGAAAATAGGATTGAATTAATCATAATAAAGTAATTCATCGAGTCTAGAAGAAAACCCAGTTTAATTACCCCATAAATATAGCATACCGTAAAACTCTATATTATCAAATATATATATATATATATATATATATATATATATATTATAGTAATTCGTCGAGCCTAGAAGAATCCTAAACAGAATGCAGAAAGCACTGGACGGCCGTTTCGTCCTTACTATAAGATTAGCCTAAATCCCCAAATTAATCACTTGTACAACCTTGCTAGATCCAGCTAATGCTCTGAGATGGATCGGCTAAAGGGTCAAAAAGCAGTCGTGTCTCTTGGGGCACTGTCCCGAGGTTATCCGAATACTTGGATGAGTATTGCTGCGGAACTGAGTGAGTAGCGGCGCTATATCGAGTCTAGCTTGTGTCGTCTTCGTCACCGAGTCCCGTGGTACAGTTGACATGACGTTTGCGTTGTATCGAAACGGTCCAGGTTCGATTCTCGCTTGTGAAATGCGCCTTGCTGACGAGTCCCAGGTGGGACGAAACGGCCGTCCAGTGCTTTTAGCATTCTGTTGAGGATTCTTTTAGGCTCGACGAATTACTAAGATTAACCTAAATCCCCAAATTAATCACTTTTATATATATATATATATATATATATATATATATATATATATATATATATATATATATATATATAAACAGAAAAATATATTTCTCTCTCACCCTCCTTCTATATATATATATATATATATATATATAATGTCTCTCTTTTTCTATATATATATTGCCTATATATTGTGCGTGTGTATTTAACATACTTGACACTTCTCGTTTTCACTCTCATGTGGTCATGTGTAATGCCATGGGCTGCGGTGCGATGTTCTCTTCCAGCGTCTAGTATGCACGAGTTTGTCGTTGCTTGGAAATCTTCCATGCAAACAAAAACAGGCTATCATTATTGCTATATCCGTGTATTTTTTTTATTTATTGTGATGTAATTGTCATCTTTGATGATGGCTGATGTAAGCCGAAAGCTTAGATAGTATTAAAAACATATATCTATATGGTGATTTTATTTCGTCTTTCAATGATAATGTTAAGCTTATCAGACCATATGAAAGGAATTTGCTTAAAATGAATAGACAAAAACGTGTCTATATTATTTAAGGAAACATGCACCAATATATATATATATATATATATATATATATATATTCGTACTCACACTGTAATTTCAACTGAATTTTCAGTAGAACAAATTCAGAGATTCTTGTTAATACATCGGCGGTAGACCTAGAGAAACGGAAGCTATATTGTTTATCCGAAAGGAGGTCGTGTGAAGTAAGCAAGCACCTTGCTTCACACGACCTCCTTTCGTATAAACAACATGGCTTCCGCTTTTCCAGCTCTACTGCTGATGTGTTAAAAACAATCACTGAATTTGTTTATCAAGTTTTGGATAAGAACGGCGAAGCTCGGGCTGTGACCCCAAATATCTCAAAGGCGTTTGAGAGGTTTTGACATGCTGGCCTTCTCCACAAGTTTAATGGATACGGTGTCTATGGACGAATATTTGGCCTTATCTAATCATTCCTAACAAATCTTGTAATGAAGGTCGTATTAAATTGTCACTTCTTGTTCATTTCTTTTCAATGCAGGCGTCACACAAGGCTCTGTCCTGAGATCTACGCTGTTTCTGATCTTCATCAAAGACCTTCACGTCATCAGTCCCCTTCTTGATATTTATGCTGATGACACAACTATTTACTTCTATCTTAATAGCAAGCCCGACAGATCCGATTAAGTAAAACAGGCAACTACTTTCAAAAAGACATCCAATCAGTTGTTAACTGGGGCAAAGAATTGCTTGTAAATTTTAGTGCCTCCAAAACAAAACTGTTTCATTTAATCGCCTCTGGGACCATTTTCAGCCGGCTATCAGCATGACTAATTCTAAACTCCAGGTTAGCAACACTTTGCGCCTTCTTGGTCAAACGTTTTCCACTAACATTTAGTGGGGTGATTATATTGCATCAATTACCAGGTCAGCTGCGAGGAAAATTCGTTCACTGTGCCGTATCAGACAATTCTTCAGGTCAGAATCCTTCTTGAACATTTATAAATCTACCATTCGCCTCTGCATTGAGTATGGCTTCCCTATCTGGTCTGGCGGTCCTAATATATACCTCAGGATTCTTAGCGTAATTCAATCACAACAGATAATCTTTTCTGCCTGCTATCAGACTAATTCTAAACTCCAGGTCAGCAACACTTTGCGCTTTCTTGGACTCGCGTTCTCCACTGACATGAAATTGGAATGATTATACTGAATCAATTGCTAGGAAAGTTGGTTCACGCTGTCGTACCAGTCAATTCTTCACGTGAGAATCAATCTTACACATTTATATATCTACCATTTGTCTGTGTCTTGGATATTGTTGACACCTCAGTCTCGTGGTCCTGCTATATGTCTCGAGATTCTTGACAAAATTCAAAGAAGTGCCTGTAAAGTAATCGATCGCGACCTGCTATCTTAACTTCATTTACTTCCTCACTGACCAGACGTGGCTTCACTCCGTGAAAATATGTTCTGACGAGCTGATTTCCTTGGTGCCAGAACTACATGAATTTAAGCATGCTACTAGATTCGAAATTAGGTTTCACTGTTTTACTGTTGAACTAGCTAGAGGCAACCGTCAGTACTATTCTGATAGTTTATTTTCTCGCACTCCTGGCCTGTGGAACTACGTTCCGCTTTCTTACTTCCCGGCCAACTATAATCTTCAAAAGTTGAAAGGTAACGCAAATCACCATTTACTGTCTTCCTGAAACTTGTTCTTTTATTGTCCTATCTCTTCACTAAAGTCATTTCATTTTCTTTCACTTCCAGTAACCCTCTGCGTCTTAGTAGCATTATCACCTTACTTGGGGTAAAATAATTAAAAGGAAAAAGAAAATGCTATAAGCTGAAGTCAACTTGGAATATACATCATGTAAATATATGTATATCCTGAAAATTGCTCCAACATCGGTTGGTTAATAGCAATTATATTTTGAAAACATTGAGTTGCGCAATATATATATATATATATATATATATATATATATATATATATATATGTGTGTGTGTGTGAGAGAGAGAGAGAGAGAGCGGGGGGTGAGCGTGAGAACAAACGTTTGCTTTATTCTTGTTTCTCTATTCTTACACTTAAATATACTTGGTGAATAGTTTTTTTACTGGCACCCGGGAACCGAAACGAGCTGTGGGACACCTATTTAGACTTTCGTTGTCGAAGCGAAATAACAACAAAAAAAATCGTTTCGGCTAAATTGAGATGCACAAGCATCGCAGATGCCAGCTATCTTCTCCCGCTCGTTATGTCTCCACTAAGGGAAGAGTAACTCGTCTAAGGTCTTTAACTTAACCGACTTCCCAGAGCTGATTTACACCGAGTGATCTGTGTAAGTCATCATCAATAACAATTAAAACAGACTGACAAAAAATCTGTGAATCAATATTAAAATTACCAATGAAAGTAGAAAGAACCCTCACACATGTTTGTGCTTGTGACGGTGACAGATAGATAGATAGATAGATAGATAGATAGATAGATAGATAGATAGATAAAACCATCAAGAAATATTAAATCTCATATGAATATGAATATGAATATAGATAGATATAGGGAGAGAGAGAGAGAGAGAGAGAGAGAGAGAGGCAGAACGAATTTCGAAAAATATTCTTAAATTCAACCGATGAGGTTTGTGTTTTGCCTGTTCCATTTATTGTTATTTGTTTCCTATAGAGTTATAAAAGCCCCTGGAAATTCCAGTAAGATATCTATAATCATATCTAAGATACAACGTTTCAAATCTTAATCTAACAAATGGACAATTTTGCTGTTACACCTGCCAACTATAATCTTCAAAAGTTGAAATGTAACGCAAATCACCATTTACTGTCTTCCTGAAACCTGTTCTTTTATTGTCCTATCTCTTCACTAAAGACTTTTCATTCTCTTTCACTTCCGGTAACCCTCTGCGTCTTAGTAGCCTTATCACCTTAATTGGGGTAAAATAATTATAAAGAAAAAAAATGCTACAAGCTGCAGTTAACTTGGAATATACATCATGTAAATATATGTATATCCTGAAAATATTATGAAAACAATGAGTTGCGCAATATATATACATATATATGTGTGTGAGTGTGTGTCTGAAAATATATAGAAAATAGGTAATAACTTGTTAGGCAAATAATTCAAAGTTCTTTAGTATTTTTGTTATTATTTTTTAAAAATAGTGCTCGATACAAAAGTAGAGCATAAATATAATTATTTATTTAAAAATATGATTCTAACACGCTACATAAGAGGTCTCATATTTCAAAACAAGAGCCGAAAACTTCAATATAATTATTTGAATTATATTGAATTAAAGTAAGCTCTGTTCCATCTTCAAGCGAAATTTCGCTTGAAGATGGAACAGAACTCACTTAAACTCAATTTAATTCAAATATTTTATTGAAGTTTTCGGCTCTTGTTTTGAAACATGAGACCTCTTATGTAGCGTGTTGGAATCATATTTTTAAATAAATAATTATATATATATATATATATATATATATATATATATATATATATATATATATATATATATATGCGTGTGTGTGTTCGAATGTGAGAGAGAGAAGAAAGATGGTGAGAGAGAGAACAAACGTTTATTCTTTTTTTTCTCTATTCTTACACTTAAAGCTTTGGGAATAGTTAAGAAATAAGTTTTCATGTACTTCTTCGCTTAATTATTCGTTTCTTTCTCTCATGTTTATTCAAAAGTGTTAGTTTTTGCGTTCCTCTTTTTAGACAGGGTCCTTAAAATTCTGCCTCGGTTTCAATTTAGATATTTTCTTAATGGTTAAATTTTCTCAGTTTTCTTTTTAATGTAATTTTGTGACATTTTTAAAACCATTTTATTATATTAGCAATTGAATTTTTTATTGTTCCTTAATCTCTATTCTGCTTCTTCTTAATTTCTAATATTGTGTTCTCGTCACTCTTTTTGTGTTGATATCTTTCTTAATATCTATGCTCTATTCCTAACTTTAACTGAACATAAAAAATAAATAATAAATATACTACGATATATATTTATTTAGATTATGAACAAATCTCCGGTTGGACAACAAAATCTAAAACTATTAAATTAGCTAGTGTAAGTATTTATTATGAAAGCACTTTGTCGCGTCAGACAATTTTTTCCCATCAGAATCCATGATGCACATTTACAAATCTACCATTCGCCTGTGTATTGAATATGGCTGTCATATTTGTTTTGGTCCTTCTAATAGACACCTTGGGATTCTTGGCGTAAATCGATCATCACTGAGAACATTTTCTACCTTCTATCAGCATGGCTGATTCTAAACTCCAGGTCAGCAACACTTTGCGCCTTCAGAGGCAAACTTTTTCCACTAACATTAAGTGGGGTGATTATATTGAATCAATTATCAGGTCAGCTGCTAGGAAAATTCGTTCACTGTGCCGTATCAGACAATTCTTCACGTCAGAATCTTTCTTGAACATTTATAAATCTACCATTCGCCTCTGCATTTAGTATGTCTGTCATATCTGTTTTGGTGTTCCTGATATATACCTCAGGATCCTTAACGTAATTCAATCCCACTGAGAACATTTTCTGCTTGCTATCAACATGGCTGATTCTAAACCCCAGTTCAGCCATACTTTGCGCCTTCAGCGGCAAACGTTTTCCTATGACATTAAGTGGAGTGATTATATTGAGCTGCTAAGAAAGTTGGTTTACTGCGCCGTATCTTCACGTAAGAACCCTTGTTGCACATTTATATATCAACCATTCGTGTATGCCTTAGATATTGCTGACATATTTTGTCTGATGCTCCTCAAGATTCTTGAAAACATTCAAAGAAGGATCTGTAATATAATCGATCCTGACATCGGCTTCAGACACTTTATCACCAACGTGATATGACTTCCTTTTGTCTTTTCTACAAATATTTTCATGGGAATTATTCTAATGGACTGCTCTACTAACAGCATGAATTTAAGCGTGTGACTAGATTGGCAACTAGGTCTCACTGTTTTACTGTTGAAACAGCTAGATGCAACCGTCATATCTATTCTAATAGTTTTTTCTTGCACTTCTTACCTGTGCAACGCTCTTCCGATTTCTTGCATCCATGCAACCTAAAATGCTGGAAAGTTTAAATGTAATGTCAATCGCCATCCTGTGTCTTTCTGAAACTTCTCCCGTTATTGACTTTTCTCCTCCTCACTAAATCTCCCCCCTGTCTTTCACTCACTGTACCTACTTGCGTCTTAGTGACATTATCAGCTTGCTTGGGTGGGGAGTAAACGATTTTTTTAAAAAAATTGCAACTCGTGCATTTATTTATTATTACCAATTTTCTAAATCCACGATAGGGCTTTAAACCTTCATCAAGGTCTATCAGAAATGGGGAGCAATGAGCCTAAATTCTAACACAGGGACACATGAGGTATCGGTAGGGCCTTTATATTCAGTGTTTTCCCTCTTCTAGACTGGTCCGATATTTGCGCATAGCGAAGGAGAGGTTAAAAGTGTCGGGTTCATGACAATGCCGGGGACATTAATCTAGGACGGGAATAAAATCCAACCAGCGTACGTTCAATATTTACATGGATTTACATGCTTAAAAGATAAGATTGGATAGCGTCAAATGCAGGTCGGTTCCGCAAAGTTAGCATTCGAAATCTCGCTTTTATCCCCATTCAAACACGCGAGGCATAAATTAGTTGCCGTCGTAGCCATCGACCAAGCTTTTGTGGCCACTAAGTAAATATCTTTCAGTTGGGACCTTTTTGTTGCTTCAAGTTATTAAGCGGAAGATGTAAGGATCGGGGTACTTAACAGATGTTTGTTTTGCCACTTGGCTGAACGCACCAGACTATCTATGCTTTCCCTATAGTCTTATCTGCTACATTTATGTGTTTGTGTTGTGGTTGGGGAGAAGTTCTCAATTTAGCTGGAATACTGAAAATACAAACTCGTGCTCAGAGTAGGTAATTCTTTTTTCTTTTTTTACTTTTTATCATCTAAGCGTTCAAGGCCACAGATGTTTGCGAATGGAGCTTTCAAATTACATCTTTTTATCTTGAGGGCAAGAGTAATGATGTTTCCCACTTAAGAAAATACTTTTTAAAAATTTTCATTACAACGATGATAATGATTTAAGTTAAAGATGATGATGATTGGTTTCTTTGGAATTTAGACCTACATTATTATTACATTATTTCCTTTGATTTCTGGCCTGTTGTTGTAGAGTAGTTTTCACAATGGAGGCTTGTATTTCGCTAAGTTGGTCCTAAAAGGGTCCGACGTACAAAACGTTAGGAACTTGAAATAAAAGTTAATGACGCAGCAATCTAGTTGTGATGGCTGATACTTCAATGTCCGACATCGACTGACTCACTCAACTCCACTGAGTTCAACTGGCCACCGCTACAACTACTACTACTTATTATGTGTGGTAGAGTCTATTAATAATAGAATAGGTACGTTCAGGTATAACACCTGTACACATTTCTTTCCGGGTCCTGCCCAGAGACCTAAGATTACAAATGACATCATGACATTTTCCACTGACAAAAAAAAATATTTTGCATAGATAAAGCCCTTCCTAAGGCGTGGGCTGTACTCGCGAGAACAATTTTTTGTATTTCTTTAAGGCATGAATCCCTTCAATTAGTCTACTGGAATCTTTTCCAACCAATTCGAGGGCTCCAACTACAACAGGGATTGTTGATGTTCCCATATGACACAATTTTGAGATTTCGATTTCAAGGTCCTTGTATTTTGATACCTTTTGGAGATCTTCAAAGATACATTGCAGCATGCAGCGGCTGGCATATCTACTCCCTCCATCCCGTTCTTCTTCTTTTTCTTCTTCTTCTTCTTCTTCTTCTTCTTATTATTATTATTATTATTATTATTATTATTATTATTATTTCCTTTGATTTCTATTGTATAATCATCTTATTTCCTTCCGGCTCCCTTACCAGAAACCTAAGTTCAACAATTGCACCATTACATTTTCCTCTGAGCATTTTTGTTAAAAAGAAAAAAAATGACTAGATCTAGACGACACTCATTTTACACAGATAAAGCCCTTCGTAAGGCGTGGACATTACTTTTGACTACAAAATGTAGGATGTGTCACAAGGCCGTTTTTTAACGTGGGGCGGTTCCGAGCGTGTAGGCTCAGGCAAAAAGTTGCCCGTAGACCCCCTCATACACAGTCAGTGTTTCTCTCTGCCCGAAAGCAGAGAGTTCGACAAATCTCGATCATCGATATCGATATCGATCAAGCCTTCCTCACCTACTGATTTCTCATTGACTCATATAGACACTTGTCTACCCACAATTCTGTTTTTTCACCATCCATTATAATTATGGGTAAAGCAGATAGCATCCAATACCTCACAATTCTTTTACAGTAGAGAAATAATATAGATTTATGCCTTTCCCAAGGTCAATAGTGCGAAGTAAATCCAGTAGATTTAGCGCGATTTAGAACTTAGTGATTTCATTATTTCCACGCCAATAAAATTTACAGTCTCC